AAAAAAAAAAAAAAAAAAGAGAAAGAAAGAAAGATGTCACTTTACACAAACAATGTGTTCTATTTCAACATTACAATGGGAGACCAGGCCAAAGAGTAGGGCTGGAAAAGGGTGCTGCATTTTTGCTACATACACTAAATAATGCAGAGAATAATGTTGAACTCTCATAAAGGTCTAGATGTAGGTTCTCTGGTCACTGAGCATATCCCGGTGTACAAGTACCCAAGATGCGTTGCCCTATTTACAGAGCTCATGGGCAGCTTAACACATATATGAGCTCCCCTACCACACTGAGATGATCCTTACTGTAAAGGAACAAACTTCTAAAACCAGAGGAGAGGGCAGCACCTGTGGCTCAAAAGGGTAGGGCATAGGTCCCATTATGCTGGAGGTGGTGGGTTCAAACCCAGCCCCAGCCAAAAATGGCAAATAAATAAATAAATAAATAAAAGTTTAAATCTAAAAAACAAAAACAAAAAACCAGAGAAGGTAGCACAGAAGAAAGATATCCCAGAAGACACTGAAGAACAAAAACTCACAGCACAGGGTGGCGCCTGTGGCTCAGTGAGTAGGGCACCAGCCCCAAATACTGAGGGTGGCAGGTTCAAACCCAGCCCCAGCCAAACTGCAACAAAAAAAATAGCCAGGCATGATGGTGGGTGTCTATAGTCCCAGCTACTCTGGAGGTTGAGGCAAGAGAATCACCTAAGCCCAGGAGTTGGAGGTTGCTATAAGCTGTATGACACTACAGCACTCTACCGAGGGTGACAAAGTGAAACTCTGTCTCTTAAAAAAAAAAAAAAACCTCACAGCACAAGAATTGATTCAGTATAAAATAAATGAAATAAAAGTAAAAAATATTATTTACTGATCATTTTTTAGATGCACCTCTTACTGGGTTTTTGTTCCAATCTGAGTCATATTTTTTAATAACGAATTTACCCAATTTATAATTTTATACTTATTTATGATAGGTATTTCATTTTAAATTCTATTATCTTATCTCTTGCATTATTTTACTTCTATCTTTTTATTACGTATTTCATTGTGTAATAACAAAAACACGGGCTTCAACTGTACAGGTCTACTGATACATGGCTTCTCCCTTTTACCCCTGCCACCCTTGAAATAGCAAAACCAAACTTTTCTTTCTCCTCCTCCATCTACTCAACAGGAAAGTAAGGAGGTAAAGATGGAGATGTCTGGATGATTCCCTTCCAATTAATGCATAGTAAATATATCTTCTCTTCCTTAGGATTTTTCTTTTTTTTTTTTTTTTTGAGACAGAGCCTCAAACTGTTGCACCGAGTAAAGTGCTGTAGCATCAGAGCTCACAGCAACCTCCAACTCCTGGGCTCAAGTAATTCTCCTGCCTCCACCTCCCAAGTAGCTGGGACTACAGGTGCCTGCACAAAGCCCAGCTATTTTTTGGTTGCAGCTGTCGTTGTTTGGCAGGCCGGGGCTGGATTCAAACTTGTCAGCTCAGGTGTATGTGGCTGGTGCCTTAGCCACTTCAGCCACAGGCGCCGAGTCAGGATTTTTTGGGTTTTTTGGAGTTTTTGGCTAGGGCTGGGTTTGAACCCGCCACCTCCAGCATATGGGGCCAGCACCCTACTCCTTTGAGTCACAGGTGTCACCCAAGCCAGGAATTTTTTAATAACATTTTTCTTCTCCCTACCTTACTTTATTTTAAGAATACAGTATATAATACAATTAATATATAAACTATGTGTTAACTGTTTATGTTATCAGTAAGGCTTCTGATCATTTATTACTAAAATTTGTTTGGTCTTTTTTTTTTTTTTTTTTTTTTGAGACAGAGTCTCACTTTATTGCTCCCAGTAGAGTGATATAACATCATAGCTCACAGCAACCTCAAAGTCTTGGGCTCAAGCAATTCTCTTCCCTCAGCCTCCCGAGTAGCTGGGACTATAGGCACCTGCCACAACACTCAGCTATTTTTAGAGACCGGGTCTTGCTCTTGCTCAGGCTGTTCTCTAACCCGTTAGCTCAGGCAATCCATCCCTTAAGTGCTAGGATTATAGGCATGAGCCACCATGTCTAGCCAAGTAGTAAAGTTCTGTTTGTTTGTTTGTTTTTTGAGACAGAGCCTCAAGTTGTCCCCCTGGGTAGAGTGCCCTGGCATAGCTCACAGCAACCTCCAACTCCTGGGCTCAAGTGAGTCTCCTGCCTCCGCCTCCCAAGTTGCTGGGACCATAGGTGCCCGTCACAATGCCTGGCTATTTTATTATTATTATTATTATTTTTGCTTGCAGCTGTCATTGTTTGGCGGGCCTGGGCTGGATTTGAACCCTCCACCTTAGGTGTATGTGGCTGGCACCTTAGCCACTTTAGCCATAGGCGCTGAGCCAAGTAGTAAAGTTTTAAGAGAATCAAAAATATACACAGATTTTCAACTGCATGCAGAGTTGGCACCCCTCAGCCTCACACTGTTAAAGGGTCAACTGTAGTCTGCTTTCTTGGGAGACTTATTTACGGTCTCTCTCCTTTTAATGACATTTCTTTACTTGACACTAAGAAAACTAGTACACTTAGCATTTTCACAAGTAATCCTGCTATGAATGATGAGAAAAATTTTCATACTTGTAACTACTGACCCATCCTCAGATCTTATGTTATTATTTTTACATTGACATAGTTTAAAGATTTGGGGGCGGGCACAGTGGCTCACACCTGTAATCCCAGCACTTGGGAGGCTGAGGCAGGTGGATTGCCTGAGCTCACAGGTTTGAGACCAGCATGAGCCGAAGTGAGACCTCGTCTCTAAAAAATAGCCGGTGTTGTAGCAGGCACCTGTATGCTTGAGCCTAAGAGTTTGAGGTTGCTGTGAGCTATGATCCCATGCCATTCTACCGAGGGAGTCACAGTGAGACTCTAACTCAAAAAAAAATAAAAAAATTTTGTTGTGGGCACCTTAGTCCCAGCTACTCAGGAGGCTGAGGCAAGAGAATCACCTAAGCCTAGGAGTTGGAAGTTGCTGTTACCTGTGACACCATGGCACTCTACCAAGGGCAAGAAAGTAAGACTCTGTCTCTAAAAAAATAAAACAATAAAAGATTTTAACTTGGCCCTGCGCCCATAGAATAGTGGTTAGGGTGTCAGCCACATACACCGAGGCTGGCAGGTTCAAGCCCAGCCCGAGCCAGCTAAACAACAATGACAACTGCAACAAAAAATAGCCGGGCGTTGTGGTGGGTGCCTGTCGTCCCAGCTATTTGGGAGGCGGGGGCAAGACAATCACTTAAGCCCAAGAGTTGGAGGTTGCTGTGAGCTGTGATGCCACAGCATTCTACCAAGGGCAACATGGTAAGATTCCATCTCAAAAATAGAAAAAAAATTTAACTTTAGTTCTACATTAAATTTGTTGTGCTACTCATTAATCCTTTAACTTATTTTTCCATTCATCTTTCGATTCAATAACAACATAAGCTATTTCACATAGCTCACTGTAGCCT